TCACGTTCATAGATCCAACGTGTGTTTGAAAAAATGAAACATTTATTTTTTATATTAACTCAGGAAAATGATATATTTTTCTCAAATCAATTCATAATTAAAATCATCAGTATAATAGTGAAGCATCCCTATACCACCTAACTTATTTAAATTTCTTTTTTTTATTTTAGCCTATTTAGTAAGAGAAGAAAAGAGATGTATATATAGAAAAACAGTACCAACACCATTATTTGCAGACAATGTGAATAAAACTAAATTATTGTAATATTAAGTTATAAGAATGAAAAGTGTTTTTAAAGTACATATCCAAATGTTCACAATAAGAAGTTAGAGGATTGGATGCATGGGACAGTCTGAAAACTGTCAGAGGAAAGGGAGAAGGTGGGGACTGGAAGAGAGAAAGTGGAGGGATTAGCTAAGGAACATAAATGTATAACTGACGACACTGACAACAGTGGTGATGGCCAGAGGGAAGTGGGGGTGGGGTCCGTGGCGAGGAGATAGGGGGTTAAAACTGGGACATCTGTAATAGCATAAACAATAAAAATAAAGACAAAAAGAAGTTGGAAAATATAATGGGGAAAAACATCTCATTTTTATTTTGCATATATGTAGTGCTTCTCAAACTTAAATATGCATACAAATCACCTGAGTGTTTTGTTAAAATTCAGATTTAGTATGTTTGTAGGATGGAGAATCAAGGTTTTATGGTTCTAATGAGCATCCGGGTACTACTGATTATACTTTAAGTAGTAAGTTATAGATACATACATACAAATATACATATAAACATATATTCTCATGTATAAGTCTTATGTATAATTTTATAGCTTAAGAATCAACAAGAAAAATATTACTGGGAGACATAGAAGAATATTTGAATTAAAAAGAGAAATGCTACATTCCTGGATGGAAAGACAATAGTACAAAAATATCTATTCTTTCTAAAATTATTCCAATACCTTTATTTAAACACCAGTGAAAATCACCAAATGCAGTTTTTTTGCAACTTTAAAAAATGAAGATTATAAAGCTCATCAGAAAGGATAAATCTGCCATATTAGATAACAGACATTTTCACAAAGAGAACATTAGGCAGGCCTTTCCCTGCAGGAAATTAAAGTGTATTTTTAAATGACAACAATTAAAACAATTGGTTTCTGCCAGAAACAGACATATCAACAGTGTGGGGTACAAATTCCAGCCATCGATCTAAGGGTGCATATGAATTTAGTGTATAATAAAAGTGGCATATCAAATCACTGAGAAGAGTAAATTATTTGATATGTGAACTGAGACACCTTGAATAATCACCAAAACAGACTTATATTCTGGCCTCACAAGATTATGACCTTAGGACTTAAAGCAAGCATACATGCCTACATGAGTACATGTTATGTAAAATTTAATATAAAAGATAAATTTTAAAGCATTCATAAATAGAAATAATAAAAAGCATAAGATATACTACAGGGACAAAATTTATAAAGAAAATAAATTTTCATCTATTGTAACATTTATCATTTTACATGACCCCATTCTTAACGTAAGGTTAGTCAATTGAGTGAGCAATTGTGGTCCATTGTTAACACTGTGTCTATTCTTCTGGCAAAAATTTGATGACTTGTATAATTTAGTTATTTTGTCTAATGTGATTTTTGTTTTTACCGAAAGCCCTAGCTCCATAGCTAAATCAGAGTTATTTCCTCGCTGATAAAATCAGGCCAATCAGCACAGAGATCTTCTCTAAATATAATTAATTGTAGGGTTTTTGGTTTTGATTTTGTTTTTACTACAGCCCCAGTCAAATTGTCTGTTTTGGTTATAGAGGGTCTCCTACAGCTCCCCAAATCGCATCAAATGATAAATGACTAAGAAGTTTTTTAAGGCTAAATCAACATTTCTTCTACAAGTTGTACACAATACAAAACACATCTTTCAAATGGTATGTCATTTTGGAAAGCATCAAATAAATTAATAAAAATGTAAAAACCAGGCTTCATAATTACCAGTAGCATTTCCTTTCCAAATAGCTAATAGGGCACAGTATAAGCACACAGTGAATACAACAATAATAAGAGTCAAAAATAATAAATTGCCAGATATAATATTTCATTTCAAATTTCTAAACATTCGTTTATAGCTATAGGCGTGCAGGGTAGACTGAGTCCAGGCTTTCTCTGGGTCCTTCACATTAAGCTGTGACTCCTGTGGTTCGGTGTAGGATGGTGTCATGGTTAAAAGAACCGAGTCCAGTCTAGCAATAGAGATTTCTAAACTCATGTCCTCTAGTATAGTTCTTCAACATCATAAAAAGAACTTAAAATTCCAAGCAATGTTTTTTAAATCTAACTTTTTAAAAAATTACACTGAAACAGTGTTTTCCTTACCAACCCTCGTTACCCGTAAAAATCTCCTCCTCCATCCACACCAGAAGCTACTTAATGACTTCCTTTCCCTCCTCCTCTTCTTTCACTAAACCCTCCCTCACTCCACTTCTGCCTACCACTCCCCAGCCTTCTCGCCAGTCTGATCCGTTTTGGGAAAGTGAACTTTGGCAAAGCAAGATTTTGTGGAGAACAGCTTAGCAAAGCCAGAACACTACATTGTGGGAAAGAGATGTAAGACCACAGACATCCATGCAGTAAGGATTTTATAAACACTTACTAAACTTACATTAAGTGAATAAATTATCACAAAGTAAAGAGGAAGAATTACCTTTGTTTTGAAAGGAAACATTAAGGTTAGAGTTGGAAGACCCAGGCCACTAGATAGAGCTCTCTGCTCTTATTTATGCTGCTCCATTTTTTTTTTTTATCCTCACCCGAGGACATTTTTCCATTTTTTGTTCAAATAGAGTGGGAGGGAGAGAGAGGAACAGAGAGAGAGAGAGAAACATCGACGTGAAAGGTACACATCGAGTGGCTGCCACCCGCACGACCGACCAGGGCCGGGGACAAACTGCAACCGAGGTACGCGCCCTTAGCGGGAACCGAACCCGTGTCTCTTAGGACCGCAGGTCGACGCTCTAACCGCTGAGCCAAACCAGCCAGGGCTATGCTTCTCCATTTTTACAGGGATAAAATATATAAACATGCTTTGTAAACATATTATTTTTCTAATTAATGTAAAGTAGTAGTCCTAGATATTAGTAGTTTGGTATTGATGTGGAATAAACTCATACAATTGTTTTTAAATTTCCAACACTTTGGTCAGAAATCATCAAAAATAATATTTATTCTTGGTGAATTAATATATTTATCTGTACAAATTATTATTCATAGAGAGCAGTAAAACTTCACTCAGTTCCATCTATTCAGAAATCATCCAATGAAAGGCAGTAAGATATAATACAAAATTCTGTGGCTAAAGATGAGAAATACAATAAATTTGGAACTCTTCAACTAACTAGTTGTATATAATTTTAGAAAGGTCCCTTAACCTTTCTACTTTCTGTTCACTGGTGTTTAAAGTAAGCTTAATTATTTAATCAATTCACCTCATCATCATATAATTCTATATTGTACATGGGCCAGATAGAGGGGTTTTTTTTTTCTACTTTATTCTTTTCATAAGCAATATTTCAGGAAGTGGAATTATTTTTGTCTGCATGGTTTTTTCATCTGGAGTTCTTAGTGAGCCACATGAATTCCCTAAATTTGGGCAATTATGGTTATATGTATTATTCTGGATAAAAGTCTATAGCTTTCACCTGATTCTCACAAAGCTCTGTGAGTCTCTCAAAAAAATACTAAGCCTGGTTGGTGTGACTCAGTGGATTTAGCATCATCCGATGGACTAAGAGGTCCTGGTTCAGGGCACGTGCCTGGGTTTCAGTCTTGATCTCCGGTGGGGGGTGTGCAGGAGGCAGCTGATCAATGTTTCTCTCTAACATTGATGTTTCTATCTCTCTCTCTAAAAAAAAAAAAAAACCACAATAAAAATATATTTAAAAAAATAAAAGGTTCACCTGGAAACGTTTCTCTCTCACATCAATGTTTCTATCTTCCTCCTGTCCTCTGTTTAAAAAATCAATAAAAACATATTTTAAAAAATTAAGAACCATTTTAGTGATAAATTAATTCCAAATGATTCTCATCAACTTATTTAAAAGGCTCATAAGATGGTTGCTTAATAATCTCCTGTTGGTTCTATAACATTTTTTTCCCATACCAATAACACACTGTTAATATAAGCTACATTTCAAACTTTCACTAATACTGCGTCCTCATTCAGTAATGGGCCATGGACTACATCTGTAGTTCACCTCATTATATCAGAAGCCTTGAACAGTGCCTGGCAAGGAAAGAAAACGTCTACTAGATTATCTCTAGAAGAAGGCAGGAGGGGAATGACCATCATCTCATCCAGGCTTGGATCTAGGCTCCAGAACTCCATGAAATGATGGAGGAATCATCAAGACTTGTTATTTCCAGAGAAAATGAAAATCCAAAGTGAATAAGAGCCTTACCAAAAGTGTCAAGGTCAAGACCAGAGTCCTTAAATAGTATAGGGCTCCTTCTATTCCACTACATCATCCAACTGGAAGAAAACACAGAAACTAATTATGAAGTGCAAAAGAACGTATCACCCAAATTTCAGTTCCTTTCTTTCAGTGGAAATTCAGTAGCTAGCAGCAACCTTTTCCTTTGTTATAGGTAGACATACCATAAATAATCTGTGAATTTTTTCTGACTTATTAACATAAGAAAATAAAATAATATCATCTCATATGTAATATTAGTTGGATTCAACTTTTTTGTCATTGTCTCATGTTCTATAAATAAAATTGTTTTTATCATGCAAACTTTATTAGCTTTTAATAATGCTTGTTTATTTGTCTTCACTAACAATTACAGGAAGAAAGAGGTTTCATTCATTAGTATCTTTTAAAATATATAGTATACAAAATTAGATGCATGTTATTTCATTTCTATACACTTCTGGTAATTGTCTTTTAAAAACCTAATAACATTTGTGTTTCTTTTGTCTTTTTACAGGAGCATTGTTTTAAACCCAGCCTATTTCCGAAATCATCTTCGTCAGGCAACAGTGTTTAGATGTCTGGAGAGATATTCAGAAGCTGCCCGGTATGTTTGTTATGACTTCTGTGAAGATTTATTTCAAGTTAAATTAATTTTATTCTCAGCTTCTGGTAATAGCATAATAGAACTTTCCATTTCTCTCGTGGAATATGATTTTACCAGAATTATTGTCATATAAATGTCAAACCAACAATTATTGACTATCTTTTTCTTTAATTAAAGCTATTTTGTGTTCATAGCTCTTAGTAAAATTCAAATTTTCCTGCCATGAGCTCACTGATAACAATGGGAAAACTTCTATGGAAGATTAGAAATGAACTTGACCGCTTGCTCTCAAGTACATTCCCGATCCTTGTTGTAATGGCACAATTTTGTGACTATCTCTTTCTTGAGTTCTAGAAATAAAATCCAATCACATATAAAGGACCCCAAGAGCCCATTTCTAAAAGAGGTGGGAGCAGTTATAACTCCAGTGGTTGTTAGGGGTGTCCTGAAATATTGCTTCTTGGATCCAAATATATTTCATAAAAACTTAGTGGAATGGCTCTTAATACTCTCATCCCCAGAACCTAGACATATGGCAAAGAATTGCAAGAATTGCTCTGGTCAGTTTAGCTGAGTAGTTAGAGCACCGGTCTGTGGACCAATGAGACCCTGGTTGGATTCCAGCCAGGGGCACGTACCTCAGTTGCAGTTCGTCCAGGCCCTGGTCAGGGTGGTGTGGGAGGCAACCAGTCAATATGTCTCTTTCACATCAATGTTTCTCTCTTTTTCTCTCTCCCTCTCTCCCTCCCTCCTACTCTATCAGAAGATAAATGGAAAAATATTCTTGGGTGAGGATTAAAAAAAAAAAAGAATTGCGCAACAGCCTCAATGCTATATTTAGAGTTTTTTCTGCACCTGTGACATCTGTGGCCTTTTTTCCTCCCTTGGTCAAGTTTATCATATCAGACTTTCCCTCTCTTTTATGAATTATCCAAAGTTGTCTTCATCTTCCAGTGTATAGAAACATGCTGTTTCTTATTCATCAACTTGACCACCCCAGAGGTTTAACAAGAAAGTGTTAATGGTTTCTACACTTAATCCAAACACAACTCCTAAAGAGAAATTTACAGTAATATAGATGGAGAAGGGGGGGCTTAGGTTGCAGATGGCTACTATCTCTAGAACATTTGCAAATAACACTTCCTTGGAAAATAAAGTATAAGAAATTTAAGTAGATAATAAAGTGGTTTCGTAACACTGATAGCATGAAGCTGACATGAATTTACATTGTGTAAGATGGTCATAGGAGTTACCTGAACTCAATTAAATGATGATTATGGAAGGCAGAATGAATCCCAACTACTCCCACTTTGCAGTCAAACAACCAACATGCCACATCTATTTTCCAGTGTGTTAATGTCCATTTTTAAAAATTAAAATAAGCTTTTATTAATTTTTTAATTTTACAGCTATCCGTAAAACAGTTTTCTTAGGAAGTAATTTATTAATGTGTCTTTATAATGTAATCAGAAGATTAGTAGAAGAAGGTTATATGCAACTTCAGAACTAGATTGTAACTAGAAAAAAGCTGCTGGTGATGTGTTGGGATCAGTTTGTACAGACTCTGTAAAGCTGTAGGAGAAATTAGCAATCCTGGGAGAATTTACACTATGGAAATTGGTAATCACTACAAATCCAGGCCTTTTTGGTTTGGAGTATAGCTAGGTTACCAGTATATCATTAATTATAACTTAATTGCATCAAGCCTAATTGAGTTAAATGTGACCAAAAAAAAAATTATGGGTCCTAAAAAAAATAAACAAGAACTTCAAAATTAGGAATTTCTTAGTATTTGCCATATAAAATTGGCACTGAATATTTATTGTCCTTGACATGTATATCCCTGTGGTGAAATAAGTATAACTGTTTAATCCCATGTGGTAACTGACCTGACAATGCTCCTTGAGAAAGTTCCTGATAATTTTTGGTTATGCTGGTGTAGACTTTCCAACAGACAAGCAGATTCGATTGCTTTCAGATACAAGTATTTTTTATCTTGGTTTTCTTAATGGCAGGATTACAGCTCTCAATATACAGTATTGGTTGTTCTTTTTCCCCCTAAGGGAAAGAACGCTATGAACCGTGAACATGAATATCTTAGTATCTCTTAGCTATCAGAGATATAATGTAAAACAATAAATATAAATCAATATATAAAGCATTCATGTTTATCATTAATGTCTTAGGAGATCTGGGTAGTTTGATTCAGGTCTCTTACAAGCACATTATATTAAAACTCATTGGAAACTCCAACACATCAAGGTTATTTCCTCTACGATTCCAAATAGTCGTGTTTCTGAGCCTGACAAGCATCTACCAAATACCAAAATATACTGTTTTTATCTGATTTAGAAGGTCTTAAAACCATGATTCCCAGTGAAGTGGATCATGTCCTATCTGTTCCAAGTTAGAGTATTTATAGTTATTAGTACCTGGAAGTTGGACTGTTTATGGTTTTCTGAGCCTAACCAGCTCTACCAAGGAAGGAATTCCTAGTGAAGCCAGTAAAGATTCCAGGATAGCCTCCTGAGAGCCCATATTCCCACCCAGAGAAGCTAGAGGAGAGGCTGCTCCCTGTGGCTGAAGGCAAGGCACCAGTCAGTTTCACAGCAATGGGAAGTTCCTTTTATTTTATGGGTCAATATCTTTTCAGTACCATCCTACTAGAAGAAAGAGCAAGAATACAGAGATAGTAGAATACAAAAAAAAAAAAATAGGGATATTTCATTTTGGTTTAGGTTCTGCAATGATGCTAGTCACCCTTGAGGAGACAACTGGCACTGGTTAAAGTGATGAAAATAACATTTTCGAAATCTAAATTGAGATTACTGTAACACCCCCCCCCCAAGAAATAAGAAACCTCTAAGACCTTACCTGAAATAACAAGTAGCCTAGCTATTTAACATTACTTTGTTTCTATGAATATAAAAGTGTATGTATTTAACTAGAATGTCTGCTCAAATGTGTTCCTCCTCCTCCAACACTAACACACACACACACACACACACACACACACACACAATCCCATCATTTGACACTACCTTCATAAAAAAAATAAGACAAGAAAAAATGTGCAGAGATGAGAAATGAACAAACAAAAACCAAGACTGACTATTGTGGGAAGAGAATTAGTGACTCATGGTAACATGAATGACATAATGTCTTTCATCTCTATATGCTCAATGTTTAGCACGGGGCTTGACACATACCAATTACCAACTTGGGATCTGCAAATTAAATCAGCTAGTTTTGGGTTGGTAGTTAACAACCGTTTACCTTCATCAATAAGAATATATTGCATGAAATTGTTAGTACAACCCTGGTTGAAAGATAAATATGAAAGTGTGCACTTAGTAATTAGAATGATAGCATCATGCCTCCTGTAATGAAGATCCATAGGCAAAAAAAAAAATAGCTGATATTCCACAGAATCTTTAGTTAAGACCACGCTGTGTGAAAGGTAGCAAAGAGAAGGTTAATACTAAAGGAGACAGCACAACAAAGCCTTTCTATCCATCACTGAGGAAGAATTAGCCATATATTTCTACACACATGGACCAGATGGGGATAGAAGAGCAGGAATAACACACTCAAATGCTTGCAAAGCCCAGGCAGATGGTGTATGTAGAAGACCAATTATAAGATTAAAGGGTGTCTTATGAACTACAGAGAACTGGAGATCACTAATTAGAATGACCATATAATTTGTCTGGCAAACTGAATATTCATAATTGTGAAAGTGGGCACTACTAAAAATTATACCAGGAAAACAGGCATCAACCAGGACCACAGGGAGTCCACAGGCTACTGCCAGCCCTTCCATAGGAAGTGTCCATATATCCAGTCCAGCTGATGTAGCTGTACAGAAATGTAAGTTCAGTACCGCACATTTTTGAGTCTTCTAGAAATAGTATGAAAATGCAGAGCTTTCCAAGAAATTTCTTGACTTTCAAATGTTGACAGTTATTTCGAGTTTTTCAGTGTCATCTTAAGAAAGCTAGTGGTCCCATCCATGAAAATGTAGTTCACTAAAGAATGAATTTCTCAAATGATCAATTTTCAGAATTCACCAAATTTAAAGTGTACTCAAAACTTCTTTTGAGAAATAATCTTATGTAATAATTAATATGAATATATTTTCTTATGTACATATTCCTTATGAAACATTCAACAGTTTTTTTTATTTTAGAGAATTTTTAGTTTTTCAAAATCTAGTCATAGAATGGTTTAGTCTTATGAAATATGTTCTTTTTGTGTGTATTATTATTACTCTACTGCTCTTGAATATATTCTGTGACTATTTTTTTAAATGAATACAATCAATTTTAATTTGAAAGTTTAACAGTTTACGCTGATTTCTTTCTAAAATTTTTTTTATTGTTTTATTTTTAACACTTTATCATTTTTAGGATTCTTTCCTCAATTTTTGGAGAATGGCCAAATTTATCTATTTAATAAAATATATTTTAAAATATTAATAGCATTTACAGTGATTTGTGTGTAATGAGCTGATTTGAGCAGCTCTCTGCTTTATCCCTGAAGCCAGACACAGCACAGGCTGGGCTGCAGACCCCACAGAGGGAGAGAGTGAAGAACAAGGAGCAATTCGAGGCCCAGGAACCTGGAATCCTAGTTCCCTTCAAATGTACCTATAGGATAACTAATATTTTTCTAACGAGCTAAACTAAAATTTAGTAAATAGATATGTTTATAAATTTTATAAACTGGTCATTGACATACTCATTATCTTATGAACTGACCTACAGCTCACAGGCTATGAGTAGCAGATCAGGTTTGAAGCCTAGATCAAATCCTCATTTTCAATTCTCAATAAATCCTGCTGTTTAATACTTCACAGATGAAAACTGAGCTTCCTTCTACCAGCAAAAGGATTCCTTCGCATGTCAATTTTGTGCTAGGGCACGTGGGGAAATATTTTAGCCTAAAATCAGCAGTTCACTATTAGAAAAAGATGACATTTTACATGGTGCAGTGGCTTT